TCATATCAGGGGTCACTATCATCATTATCATCAGGGGTCACTATCATCATCATCATCATCAGGGGTCACTATCATCATCATCATCATCATCATCAGGGGTCACTATCATCATCATCATCATCATCAGGGGTCACTATCATCATCGTCATCATCAGGGGTCACTATCATCATCATCATCATCATCATCATCATCATTATCATCAGGGGTCACTATCATCATCATCAGGGGTCACTATCATCATCATCATCAGGGGTCACTATCATCATCATCATCAGGGGTCACTATCATCATCGTCATCATCAGGGGTCACTATCATCATCATCATCATCATCATCATCATCATCATCAGGGGTCACTATCATCATCATCAGGGGTCACTATCATCATCATCATCAGGGGTCACTATCATCATCATCATCAGGGGTCACTATCATCATCATCATCAGGGGTCACTATCATCATCATCATCAGGGGTCACTATCATCATCATCATCATCATCATCATCATCATCAGGGGTCACTATCATGATGATGATGACTGATGTCTGCAGGAGGATAATCAGATACAGACCCTTCCTCCACAGCACATCCTGCTCAGAGGCTGTTTAGTTGCTGCAAATGGTCTAAATCAGTAGAGAAGGTTTATTTCCTCCTTAAACTCAAAGGTCTCCTAGAAGCAGAGGAGAGTGGTGGCCTGGTGGTTAGAGCACAGCATTTGTCCTCTAAGAAGGTTGAATGTACCCAGTTTGATCCTCCCTGAACAAGACCCTTAACCCCCCAAACTGCTCCCTGGGTGCCGCACAATGGCAGCCCTCTGCTCCCCGGGGGGAGGGGTTAGATACTAGGGAGGGAATTTCTCCAATGTGGGACAATAAAGTTCAATATTATTATTCAACAAGATTACAACCAGCCTTTCTGTTTTTAAATGATTTATTATTAATGAAAAGGATTGACTCATCACACCTTTAAACTATGCTATTATCCTTTAAATCCATTTTTAAGTTTTTATTATGTAGCGTTAGTTTAAAACCTTCTATTTAATTCAAGGAAGACTGAAAGCCTGACTGTCGTCAACTTAAAAAGTTGTTTTTTTTTATCTTGTATTGAATATTGCAATGTTTTGCTTCATAGAACAAGCCACTTAAGATTTAAAAAGTCATTCTGCTTAATTGTTAACATTTTCACACAAGTAAGATCATTTAACTCTTGATTATTTTTATGATTTTAAAGATAACTTTAACCGTATAACCCTAAAACATGGAGAACCGACTGCTGGTTTATTCAGTAGATCTTAAAGAACTAAGTGACATTTTTTAAGAATATCAGTTATATTTTGCCTCTTCCTTTTTTAAAGTTATTGTTTAGCTATTATGAGCTTGGTTTTATCTACTGATGTATACGTTTGTTTTTATGTTTTTACATCCCTCAGTGACACACGTTTGAAATTCACTCAATGAATCTTTAATTTAAGGGATTTATTGCCATGTCCTTTCAACAGTCCTTGTTTGTTGCTAAATGAGTTTGACGCAGGAATGTTTCCGTGCATTAACCGTGTTATTAAACAGAAATCATCTTCTTCTCTGTTTGCTTTGTCTTTTCGTGTCTGCAGTGGGACGCCATTAATGAGATGGACGAATATTTTACCCCTATTCACACATACCAGGTACGTTTGATGACCTAAGATTGTATTTTGGATGAATATGTCACGATTTGGTGTTGGATTGAGGACCCAAAAGCAGAGGCAAGTAGGCAGAGGTGAATTTAAGTGGGTTTAATGAGGTCCACAGGTACAGAGGCAGGAATCAAAAAATCCAACAAAAATAACAAACAAACCAGAACCAAGGAAACATCAGGGGAAACCAAACTCTAGGAGCCAGGGAGAGACGAGGTTAGCAGACAGACGTTAGACGAGGATCCAGCAAACAGGAACTGAAGAGGGAGGGCTTTTAAAGGGGACAGAGACAAAGAGAGGGCTAACGAGGGGATTGAAAACAGGTGAGGACAGAGCAGAAAACAGAGCAAGGGAAAGAGGACACAAGAGGGCAGCAGAGGACAACAAATGGAAAACCTGGAAGACAGGAACTAACAAGAAAACAACAAAATAATAATTAAACACTAAAACAAGGAGCAAAATAAAACTGAATATTCTAAATAAACAACAAAACCAAGACTGACAGAAAATGATATCTGTCAGATTTGCTTAGATCTTCAATAACAGATAGTGTTAAGATGCAAGGACAGATTTTTTAAAGAACATTAAGAAAATAGAAATCATTTTCTATATCCAAGATTGGATTACTGTTATTAATACTTTGTGAACCTTATATCCTATACATAAAAACATCTTCCTGTAAAATTATTTGCGTTTAATCAAATCTATACCTTAAACTCTTCAAAGCTCAAAATAACAATTTATAATAGCAGTAAAATTTATGGAAATATGTCACATCAATCAGAACAAATCATTATCTGGGGGGGTGTGGGGGTAAGTCGTGTCAGCTAAGCCAACCATGCCCCTAACCCCCCCCCCTTTCACAGGCACAGACCAGTATCTGGCATTGCAGGCTAACAAAGACCTCAATGACCCCCCCATTCCTAAGGGGCGGATCCGTTCTTCTAGCCTGGGCGCCATTCCGAACTTAGTCCCGCCCACAACGTTTGAGGTCAGGAAGTTCGGTCTGGCATTGCTCAGTAGTAGCGCAAGTATGCTAGCACAATATCTGGCGGACCAATCAAATTGTCAGGGCGGGCTTTATACGATGATGGACAGATGATCAGCAGTAACGTAATCAACCACGTGACCAAAGCGCGCTTGGGTGACAACAACAATGGCTGCCGCTGGAGAGTTGAGGTGAGTAGATTCTGCTATTAGGTCTGTTCTAGAAGATATCGACAACAAATTAATTTTAAAAGAGGAACAGAGAAACGCGATCAAGGCTCATCTTCTTATTCTAGGCGTGCAACTGCACGCTTTGATTTTTGTTGACAACAACTATGCGTCGCTTAACATACGTCACGCACTCCGTTGCTCTTATTGGTTGTAGGTCTATCCAATTGAGTGCAGAGGATTTTTTTTCCTGGTTCGTTCGAAACACGCCCCATAATCACAGCTCTATGGAGCAGCATCAGACTCATTCTGACTAGAATTGAGTCGGACTACGTCAGGCTACAGATCTTCCGCATCAATTTTTATGTTTTCTAAGGCAAAACAAGGCTTCTGACATTTTGAATTTAAAAATCTTCCCGGATGGGAAGAGAAACGTCTTTAAACTTGGAAACAAAGTGGAAGAAAGATAAATATATACGTAATCTAATTAGAGCCTGATTGTTCAAGTCATCTTACTGCCTCTATGATGAGATACAGGGGGTGGTATTGTTATGTCTAATGTGAAATGATGACATGTGCTGATAAATATTATGCAGTTTAAGGTCAAAACGCATCATACCTTTCAGGAAGACAGCACTCTTGTGTGTCATGTTGGAAGCAAGGTTTCTAACCCACATGCAGAACACATGGACTCAGAGGGAAAAAGTTCAACAGTTTATTGAAGCACAATGCAAATAAAGAACTGATGTAGAATAACAGGTCCAGGACTGGTCACGACTGGGTTCTCTGCAGAGAGGGACAGTTTGGTTAGCTGGGATCCAAATACTGTTGCTAGTTGAGTAAATGCAGGTCTGTACCTGTTCGATGATTTGAGCAGAGCGGCAGAGGGGGGAGAACCAGGAGGGTCCAGAGGCAGAAGGTAGGCAGAGGGCTTGGCAGAGGCAGGGCTCGACTTCAGACCTTGCAGTGTTCAGATCTGAGTTACTTTCCAGTTCTCTTCTTAAGAGCGGGCAGGCAGGTTCTGACTTTTTGATCTTCCAGGGTTCTTCTGAGATCAGACAGGCTGGTTTCAGTTGAGAAACTCTTCCAGAGTTCCAGGATTCAGTCAGGTTCTTCCTAGGAAGCAGAGAGGACAAAACTGGTTAGGTTCAGGTTTCAGGGGAGTCAGAGAATCAGACAGGTTGGTTGGCTCAGGCTTGCTAACCGTAACTGGCTTAACACTCTGGCACTGGAGTGTTGCTCTGCCACTGCTTAAATGCTGGTCTCCTGATGAGCAAACGAGCCGCAGGTGTGGTAGTCAGCTCCAGGAGACCTAAGGCGCCCTCTGCTGGAGAAAGGTGGACAGACCTCCAGATCCCAACATTGTGACCTTTTTTATGTTCCACAGTTGTTAGAACATTTTTAAAAGCTAAAAGTTGTTTGTTCAAATACATTTTTTGATGTTCAGTATGTGGTGAGGTCATTGGTTGTAATATATATTTAAAATGATTGTGTTCTTTTCAGGTGTTGATTGTGTGACCACCATTATTACATCATTTTCTTACATAAGTTGCACAATAATTGATCTAAAGAATTATTATAATCATCACATGTTTCAAGTCCTTTGGTCTTTAAAAAGAAAAACATGTTTTGATTTGTGAAAACCCGCATTATATAAAAGTAAAACATTGTTTTTGTTTTCAAACCGACCTTCTAAAAGAAGAAGATTCTAACCATTCCTGTTATTTAGACCTGAGGGAAGACAAGAAATGAGGTGCAAAGTCGAGTCCAAATTTGATGGATCACACTGAATGAACTACTGTGAGTTCAGAGAAAATAACAGCAAGTGTCAGGAAATGGGGACAGATGGACCCAGTATTCAAGGAGGGACAGTCCGTAATGTTTATTAAATGAAGAACAAAACTAAGGGGGAGCTGCTAGGATCTGTGGCACGCGGCGACTGCTGCAGTTCCAGAGGTCTTCCAGGAAGCCGATCCTGGTCAGGGATTCAGAACAGACAGAACAGGCAGGATCCAGGCCTCGTAGTGCTCCCAGGCAGGTTCAGAGTCTGACAGAGTCCGGAAGGAGCAGACAGGATCAGATGTAGACGGGGAGGCTGAGTGGAAGAGGATAGCCGAGACAGGACGTGGAACCAGAACTTGATGCAGGACCTTTAAGCTGGTCTCCTCCTTGGAGCCAGGCTTACTGGGATAAAAACTACACATCCCCCCATAATGAGCCAAAAACCCAGAGGACTCCGCAGGGGAGGAACAGTGGACGAGCAGGAGACAAGACAGACACTAAACCCTCCTTCCACTGGCAGCTAGGATCCAGGACACGAACCTTGGAATCAACAGAACGGACAAGCTAGCAGAAAAACAAATAATGATCTGGCCCTGAATGCTCAGGCTGAACTGAATATAAACCAGAGGAAACAGGTGGAATAAATGATAATTGAGGCAGGGAGGGAAAACGACAGGTGAAAGAAATAACCAATTAAGGGAGAGCAAACAGGCCAGATCATGACAGCAATATAGCAAAAGAAAATTAACACATTTAAATTGCTTTAATCAAACAGAATTTTTTTACATAGTAGAAGGTTCAACTATGAACTTCCAAACCAGTTACCATATCTGGATTCACATCATCTAGAGAACAAAATTGCAACCCAACCGTTATATAGATGAATGCATAATAAAGGCTTTTCAAATGATCGCCTGCAGTGTTTTTAAATGTTGGTATTAGTTGAATGACAGCATATATTCTGAATTAGGTGTGTAATGTGATGAGTCCGAGTCAGAACAACTGGTTACGGTCCGGTTGGATCCCTCGAGAAGGAGCCAAGAGAATCTACATCGAGGTGAAGTTCACCCTGAGAGACTGCAACAGCATGCCTGGAGTTCTCGGTACCTGCAAGGTAAGTTTAAACAACATTTATTTTTGTATAAACTCGTGTGTACAAAATGACAAAATAAATCTATCTAAGTAATGCAGTGCAGCTGGGGGAACATGAAAGCTACCGTTTTTTTAAAAGCTGCTGTGAGTATTTTCAAATTAGGATGTAAATGTGATGTTGGGGTCTAGTCTTCTTACCCACATGCAGAAACACTCAAGAGACTGGAAAAATAGTTAAAAGGTTTATTGACAATGTTTTCAGAAATGGTAAATCGCGTCTTGGTTCGTCAGGCTGGTCACTGGAGGGAAGCAACTAGAGGAGGACAGAAACGGTTAGAGTGGATCCAGGAAACTTGCTGTTTGACGGTGGTTTGGGTTAATACCTGCTCAGGGGGTATTCTGACCGGTAGGGGGGGAACCTTGAGGGTCCAGAGGCTGAACCGCACGCAGAGGGCTGAGGGCTGAGGCGGAGGGCAGACAGGCAGGCTCCAGGCAGCGAGAGTTTTGTCTAGGAGTTGACTGATCACCAGATATGTCAGGATCTGATAGGCAGAAGAACACAGAGTCAGAGAGGTTCTTAAAAAATCAGGAAAACAGATCAGATTTTCAGCAGGCTCAAAGTTTGCCGGAACCGTTACTGGCAAAACACTCTGGCAGGGAAGTGTCAGCCTCCTCCTCCTCCTCCTCATCCTTAAAAAGCCTCCAAATGAGCAGATGGGAAACAGGTGTGCAGAAGTCAGCTCACGCCCTCAGGAGGAAGATCTCAGGCTCCCTCTGGTGGAGAAAGGTTGACAAGCCTCCGGATCCCAACAGTAAAGATTCCAGGTATTCTGCAGATGAAGTGATGGAAAACGGCCACAGCTACACAACATGTTTGGATTAGTTGTTTAGTGTCTGCTTTAATTATTTCCTTTTTGGAAACAAACTCTAGTTGCCGCTTTTTCAGTTACATCCTTTGTCTATTGTTTCTTAGCTCATTATTGTGTTTCTTTCTGCAGAGTTTCATGTGTATCTGTTCAGTTATTTCCTTATTACATCTCTGCTCTCCTTCTGCCCTGACTGATTCAGATTATCACCTGCACATTCAATGCCAACTCCTCTTCAATTAATGTATATATTTGTTTCTTTTGTTTGTCAAACTGCTTATTATTATCTTTCCACTCCACATTGTGTGTTTCTATGCTTTGTGTCCCCATTCCCTTCAATAAAGCTTTAAATGCATCACACTGCTCCTTATTTCCTGACTGCATTCTGGTCTGGCTGCTGATTCTGCTGACTGGTCCAATATGAGCAGAGAATAAAGACAATAGCAAACGAAAATCTGGTCCAAATGTCTGGAAACAATTAAGTTGACCTACTAATGAATCTGATAAACAGACTCATGTTTTATTAAGCTACGCCTGCTGACATTTTAACATTATTACCATGTTATAAATCACAAAATAAAAACTTTTTAAATACTCAAAAAAAGACTTCAAACTGAGCCTTCAATTTGTTTAGTTTGAACTCATTATTTTATAGTTTGTACAGTTAAAATAGGAGGTATAAGATGTATTATTGACCATTCCTCCACTCTCCGATAATATCAGAAAGAAGCTTAATCTAAGTTTGTGATTAAACTGGAATCCTTCCAGTGTCGCTGTTTTTATTAGCTGTAATATTTATATAGATAAATCTTTAATCAACTCGCTATTTAGCTCTGCTGCTAATTGCTCCTGTTTTAATCCACACTGAAGGGATTTCATTATTAGTTTAAACTTGCTGCCTGTGAATAAAGATGCACTAATTCTCTGATCATGACTCTTAAAATATTATTTAACTTGTTTTTTTAAATCGTTAAATTGTAACAACAAACTTTTAATTAAGAATTTCAACATATTACAATAGAAGGAAATGAAACATGGATACAACTTTACAATATAAGAAGAAAATATTTGAGAATTTCAATTTCTTGCTGAATACAAACTTTGCTTGGTACGGAAGAGCATTAGGGCCACTGAAAAAAAAAAAGTTGACAGATTTTAAAATTTTATTTCAGAATTCTGAGATTAAAGTCAGAATTCTGACTTTTTTCCCATACTGTACTGAAATAAAATTTAAAAATCAGTTAACTTTTTCAGTGGCCCTAATCGTCTTCCGTAGCTTGGTATCGCTCTGTTGTTACATGTTTAATAATTTAGTGCATCTATAGGGTTTTGTTTCTTATTTACCAATTCCTTTTAGCAACATAACTCATAGTTATACTAGACTTAGACACTTTTATATATATATAATGATAAAATATAAAAATTATAATAAAATACAATAAAATAACCCATTCTACAAAACATTCCTTAGTGTGATGGCGGTGGGGAAGAAGCTGCTGCAGAACCTGCTGGTCCTGCATCCAATGCTGTGAAGCCTCTTCCCAGAGGGCAGCAGGGAGAAGAGTCCATGGTGGGGGGGTGAGGGGTCATTGATGATGTCACGGGCTCGGGACAATCACATGGTGTCGTCTGCAAACTTCACCGTGTGATCGGTGGTGAACCTGGGGACGCAGTCGTGCGTCATCAGGGTGAACGGCAGGGGGCTCAGGACGCAGCCCTGAGGGGAGGGGCTTAGACTGATGACATCAGAGGTGTTCTGTCCTTATATGAAGAGAATTGTTCAAAAAGATGAACTGGGATCGAAGTTTCAATGTGTTTTTTTTTTCCAGGATTTCCCTTAACTGTATTGAACCCAGTTTCCTTTTCATTGCTGTGATCAGTGCTGAAGCTGAACTCCTAAACATCTGTTAAAAACACTTTTTAATTTGACTTTCTGAAAGTGTTCTTTAATCTGTCTTCATTAGTAGACATCTGGCCTCTATACCTAAATACATAGAAAATGTGTCCCTACAGCTTTGAGCAATAAACACTGAAGAGCTTCTTCTTGCATTGTTTATTGTACAGGAAACCTTCAACTTGTACTACTTTGAGTCTGACAGAGCTGTGGGCTCAGCCGTACGCGACCGCCAGTTCATAAAGATTGACACCATTGCTGCAGACGAGAGCTTCACAGGAGTGGACCTGGGAGTTCGCAGACTTAAGCTCAACACTGAGGTACGAACTACTCGCATAAGGTACTTTAAGTTATATTAAATTGATCACATACTCCTTACATACATTTACGGAAGAGGATTAGGGCCACTGGAAAAAAAAAAAGTTAACTTATTTTTAAAAAAAAATTTCAGTTTAGTATGGGGAAAAAAGTCAGAATTCTGAATTTAATCTCAGAATTCTGACTTTTTTTATTTTCAGAATTCAGTCAGAATTCTGAGATTAAAGTCAAAATTCCGAGAAGCTCTGGGAGAAGTTCAGAGTGGTGAGTTCAAGGACTGTGGGAAAACTGGCTGAAGGTCTGAATACATGAACCAAGGAACAAAACTAACAGACAGGCTAACAGAAAGACAAGAAATGATCTGGCCCTGAATGCTCAGGCTGAACTGAATATAAACCAGAGGAAACAGGTGAGGGAAATAAATTGTAATTGAGGCAGGGAGGGAAAACGGCAGGTGAGAGGAATGACTAATTAGGGAGGAGCAAACAGGCCAGATCATGACACTAGCAGACTTTTAGAGGAAAGAGATCTTTTGTTAAATAAACCACACTTAATAATTTCAAAATTTTCCCCAATTATTAATTAGATTATCATGATTCACTTCTTTGGGAATCTTTGCTAATTTATTAGATTTTGGTCGTGGGCAAGACACTGTCTGGATGGAGTAAAGAGTGGGTAACAGTAGAGAAGCTGCAGAGAGGTCTGTTAAACTAGGACTCTTGTTAAAATGAGAAGGATTTGTCCCCTTGGAAGGAAGGCTGTACCGCCCCAGGGGCCTCCTCACAGGTTCTTTTCCTGGTAGCAAGTTATTTACTACTCTTAACTCAAACTGGGTAAAACCATATAAAAAGGACTATAAAAACAGGAGTAAAAATGTAACAGAGTTTATTCCAGATCAGGTCGTTACAGGACAGAGAAAAATGCTTAGAGCTGCACAGCTGTGGTCTCAAAAATCACGTCCGCGAGCGTTCGGCACAGATTGAGCCCCGAACAACATCATCACCTGCTTCTTATAGCTCATGGGTCTATGTGTTGCATCATGTTGATGTTGAGCTGGCCGTATCAGAAACTGACACGCCATCCATGTCTTGAACTTCATGCAGCTTGCTTCTATACTTCAGGCTTTCCCCAAAAGGATTGCCAATTATTAATGTAGCCCACGTTGTTTTCAGGACACCACCTAGACAACCAGCGGCTGAATGACGACATGCGGCTAAACATGTCATCACTGGTCAGATCAGGGAGGGGACCAGAGAAAATTACAGAGTCAAACATTGTTTTGGCAAACTTACACACCGAAGCAACACTAATGTTAGTGACCTCCGATCGGCGTAACCGGTTGTCATTACCACCAGCGTGAATAACAATCTTACTGTATTTAACCTTATCCTTAGCCATTAGTTTCAGGTAGGATTTGATGTCGCCCGTTCTGGCCCCCGGCAAACATTTGACTATGGTCCCTGGTGTCTCTAATGCCATGTTGAACTATATAGTTTTATCTGTTATTCCACTCAGAAGTAGTGATAATCATCTCTTCTCTGTCAACAGGTAAGAGGTGTCGGCCCCTTGAGCAGACGAGGTTTCTATTTGGCTTTCCAGGACATTGGTGCCTGCATCGCCCTCACCTCGGTGCGGGTGTACTACAAGCGCTGTGTGGGCGTTAGCCGCAAGTTGGCAGTTTTTACAGATGTGGTGACGGGGGCTGACTCCTCATCGCTGGTGGAGGTCAGGGGTCAGTGCGTGGACCATGCAGAGGAGAGAGATACTCCTAAGATGTACTGCAGTGCAGAAGGCGAGTGGCTTGTGCCCATTGGGAGGTGCGTGTGCTCAGCTGGCTTTGAAGAGCACAGAGAATCCTGTATAGGTAAGTCGGGACCTCAAATTAACCCTTCTTTGCTGCAGATCTGATTGGTTTTTATTAAGTCTTTGGGAAAGTTGTCAATGAAACTGAAATCTGAGCAACACTGTCCTCTGTCTCTGCCTCCTTAAAGCCAATCACATTGTTTCCTTTCCCAGTTTAGTCAGTCGACTTTTGCTGTAGTTTTCTGCGAACAATAAAAAGGAAATCATTCATTATAGGTTGAAAGCATATACATAGCATATCCTTTTGATGAGGATTCAAATAAAGAATAAGTGCCATTTATTCACACAGTATTTAATATTTATTCTATTCAGTTTATTTCTATAGCTCCAATTCACATCATGTCATCTCAGGTCACTTTCCAGTTCACCAGATCATCCAGTCAGATTGATTCAAAGTTTTCTATCTAAGGAAAACCAGCTGATTGCATCGACTCATTGACTCTTCAGCAATCCCTCATACTAAGCATGCTTGTAGCCAGGGGCGGATTTAGGAAATTTGGGGCCCTAGGCAAAGACAGGCATGGGGCCCTCTGAGTTGAGAAGACAAGAAGACATGTATCTTCAAGTCTGTCTATGTCACTGTAACTCGGAGGAAAGAATCTCTCTTTCATATAAATAAATAAAAGGTGCATGTCACAGGAAAGACTAGTGATGTTACAAATATGACAATTGCTTAAACTACAGAACAGTAAATTATTTAATCTATAATGATTGTGACCCCTAACATCCCCAGCTGTACACAATAACACACATGCAGATGTTGGTAATAACTTCCTTATGTTTTTTGAATGTGTAACTTAAATTATTAAGGACTAAAACACCTAAAACTTATGGTTGATTTTACAACATTTAAAAGCCTGAGATTTTCCTGAAATTCAACAGAAAAAACACCTAAATAATAGATTTTTCATGGTTTGTAGCAAATCCAAATTAAATTAGAAACTTACTTTAAAATGACCCATCTTCAATAAGGTAAATAAATACTTATCAATATAGGGGGAATGTCCCCTTCGACAGCTTAATACTCACTAGTTGTTCAACTCCACACCATGGATCCTCCTCAACAGGTGCCAGCGTTACCGCTGAGTTTTCAGCTGTTCGCTGGTTACTGCTGCTGCTCACCGCAGTGAATAAGCCGAAGTCAGTCATTTTCGGTAACTTTGAAAGCAGCTTCCTACTTTCATTCTTCTTTCTCCTCTTTTCAGCATCGCTAGGGTAACTTCTTTTCATCTTTCTTCTCTTTCCTATCCTTTCCTTTATTTTCTCTTCTCCCCCGCTCTGCTCGTATCGTCTCTTCGCGCCGTTTGCTTTCAAATAATTTGCTGCCGTGTGTTTGGACCTTTCTGCCCATGCGCAGCAAATGGACTGAACCAATGTAGTGGACACTTTTACGGGGGGCCCGATACACACTTAATATTATAAGCATTCTAATGGCATTTTAGCGAAAGGATTTTTATCAAAAACATAATTAATGTGCACAAATAAGTAATAGCTGTATTAACCATACATGTAAAAGGTGTTTTAGGGCCCCCCCCAGGAACTTGGGGCCCTAGGCAACGGCCTAGTATTGCCTAATGGTAAATCCGCCCCTGCGCACTTGCAACCTTCTCAGAGCACAAGCGCACTGGGCTAACACTCCCCGCCCGAAGTGTCTGTCAGAGTTTTGGTTTGTTGGTTTCTGTTTTTCTTGGTTTTCCATTTGTTGTCCTCTGCTGCCCTCTTGTGTCCTCTTTCCCTTGCTCTGTTTTCTGTTCTACCCTCACCTGTTTTCAATTCCCTCGTTAGCCCTCTCTTTGTCTCTGTTCCCTTTAAAAGCCCTCCCTCTTCAGTTCCTGTTTGCTGGATCCTATCCTCGTCTAACATCTGTCTGCTTTCCTCGTCTCTCCCTGGCTCCTAGAGTTTTGGTTTACCCCTGATGTCTCCTTGGTTCTGGTGTTGTTTTTTTCTGTTGGATTTTGATTCCTGCCCCTGGTCCTGTGAACCTTAATAAATCCACTTAAATTCACCTCTGCCAACTGGCCTCTGCATTTGGGTCCTCAATCCAACACCGCTTCTTGACAATGTCTTTATTTGCATAATGGCGAGATACAGATTGAGACTTTCAGTTCATAGATGAGAATAGAGAACATATTTAGGAATATTATTTTATATTCCTGTAATTATCGCACACTGTAGCTTTAATACTAACGGTGATACCAACATGTGACAGAGAAGGGAGCTGGAAGTCCCATAACTTTCCAACTGCAACTTTCTAACCATTCTCCCGAGGCGGCTCAATAAAAATAACACTTTCTACATGATTACGTCCTTTTGTCTACAGCAATACATCACACCTGGTTTTCGGTGAAAGAAGTAATGTAAAATAGTTTGTTATTGTTTTATTTATTTTTATTTTTTGTACTATAGGAACAATAATTCACAGTTTGGGATGGATGTTTGCATAGTACTGTATTGTACATTGTTATTCACTTATTCAAGAGAATCTTTGTACTCCACCCAATTATAATATAATTAGAAGAAGTTTATTGGAGTCCAAAAAGGACATTTTCTTACTGTTAATTAGCGCAACACATTATAGTTTAAAATTTGTTGCAAAATGTCCTCTTGTACAACCAGAGGTATGGTTAAAAATGTTACAATTATATATATGGTAAAGGGACGAAATGACAGCACCTTTTTAGAGGATGTAACTTTGTTTTGCTGAAAGAGATGCTCGAGTTGCCTTGTTCAAGAAGACCTGGAATCTATGAAAAGAACTCTAGTCCACAGTGAGGTGCAGTCCATGTTAAGGTCAACAAAAACTCTTATCTATATGAACATAGCTTCTGTCATCCCCAGAAAAATAAAATAAAATAAAACTGCTTGAATTTTTACAGCATTTTGTCAATGCAGTGAAAATCCCGTTAGCATCAGTTAGCGCTTTGACTTATCTGAAGACTTTCTCTGTACTGTGCAGGAACAGCAGGGCTGCTGAGTGCAAAAAGCCTTTGAAGCAACACTTGAATTTAAAACAGGTTTTTTTTCCTTTCCTGCAAATCAAAAAGTCTGTTTGAAGCTGTGGAACGGGATGATGTAGAAAAAAATGATTTGCACTGAGAGGTTCAAGGTGCGGTCACCAGTTTTTCTGAAGTTTACTGTAACATTTCTCTGAACTTAGTAAACACAGAGAGAACAGATTATTCATCTTTGTTGGTTAAAAAGAATATTTATCAAATCTAACAAGTGTAACCTTAATTAAAAAGCACAAGAGTTATCTGTTGCCAAGTAGGATTAACAAAAATAAATGCAACATAAACTAGAAAAAGCTGTTTCGGAGAAACAGCAAGGTGGGAATTCTTTTTTTGCTGAAAGAAAAAAGAAAAATTAGCTAAAGAAACTGCGAGAAGGAAAAGAAGCATAAATTAGCTGAGGAACATATGAAAATGTGATAGGAAGTCATCAGAAGCTTCAAACTGCAGAAAACAATTGAATCATGTGAAGATTTTGTAGGGTAGAATCATTTGGCAGTAAAATGGCAGAAACAAACTCATCTTAAAAGCTGCACAGCCAAACCATACATGATATCAAAAAATGTGTTTAATGTGGGCGCTAGAAGGGTCTAAATGTAATGTCTCCCAAGTTTCTATTTGGCCACGGTGACGATGCAAAAATGCGTTTAATGTGGGCACTAGAAGGGTCTAAATGTAATGTCTCCCAGGTTTCTATTTGGCCACGGTGACGACGTAAAAATGTGTTTAATGTGGGCACTAGAAGGGTCTAAATGTAATGTCTCCCAGGTTTCTATTTGGCCACGGTGACGACGTAAAAATGTGTTTAATGTGGGCACTAGAAGGGTCTAAATGTAATGTCTCCCAGGTTTCTATTCGGCCACTGTGACGATGTAAAAATGTGTTTAATGTGGGCACTAGAAGGGTCTAAATGTAATGTCTCCCAAGTTTCTATTTAGCCACGGTGACGATGTAAAAATGTGTTTAATGTGGGCACTAGAAGGGTCTAAATGTAATGTCTCCCAAGTTTCTATTTGGCCGGGTGACGATGTAAAAATGTGTTTAATGTGGGCACTAGAAGGGTCTAAATGTAATGTCTCCCAGGTTTCTATTCGGCCACTGTGACGATGTAAAAATGTGTTTAATGTGGGCACTAGAAGGGTCTAAATGTAATGTCTCCCAAGTTTCTATTTAGCCACGGTGACGATGTAAAAATGTGTTTAATGTGGGCACTAGAAGGGTCTAAATGTAATGTCTCCCAAGTTTCTATTTAGCCACGGTGACGATGTAAAAATGTGTTTAATGTGGGCACTAGAAGGGTCTAAATGTAATGTCTCCCAGGTTTCTATTTGGCCGGGTGACGATGTAAAAATGTGTTTAATGTGGGCACTAGAAGGGTCTAAATGTAATGTCTCCCAGGTTTCTATTTGGCCGGGTGACGATGTAAAAATGTGTTTAATGTGGGCACTAGAAGGGTCTAAATGTAATGTCTCCCAGGTTTCTATTTGGCCACGGTGACGACGTAAAAATGTGTTTAATGTGGGCACTAGAAGGGTCTAAATGTAATGTCTCCCAGGTTTCTATTTGGCCACGGTGACGACGTAAAAATGTGTTTAATGTGGGCACTAGAAGGGTCTAAATGTAATGTCTCCCAGGTTTCTATTTGGCCACGGTGACGATGTAAAAATGTGTTTAATGTGGGCACTAGAAGGGTCTAAATGTAATGTCTCCCAGGTTTCTATTTGGCCACGGTGACGACGTAAAAATGTGTTTAATGTGGGCACTAGAAGGGTCTAAATGTAATGTCTCCCAAGTTTCTATTTAGCCACGGTGACGATGTAAAAATGTGTTTAATGTGGGCACTAGAAGGGTCTAAATGTAATGTCTCCCAGGTTTCTATTTGGCCGGGTGACGATGTAAAAATGTGTTTAATGTGGGCACTAGAAGGGTCTAAATGTAATGTCTCCCAGGTTTCTATTTGGCCACGGTGACGATGTAAAAATGTGTTTAATGT